TTGGTATATCTACCGCCTGGCTGGAAAGGACAGCGAGATGTGCCGGGCATCCAACACGGCGCGTTCGGAGGCGGCGCTGGGCGACCTGAAACGGATCCGGGTGGAGCTGGACTGCGACGAAGGGGAGCTCTCCTTCTACGACACCGACCGCAAGACCCACATCTACACCTTCCACGAGAAGTTCGGCGGCACCGTCTTCCCTTATTTCTACGTGGGGGGCGCGCCGGTGGGCGCGCTGCCCAACACGCTCCGCATCTGTCCCCTCCGGGTCCGCATCCACGAGGATGTCCCTGTCTAGTGGCCACCATCTCCTGCCACCACCGCCTCTGCCTGCATTTGGGGCTCTCCAGATGCTTTTTCAGCTTTTGTTTAAAAAAGAAAAGAGAAAAAAGACTTTATGTACCGCCTCTTTTTTTTTATCTTTAATAAACACTCTGCTCTTCTGGTATGGTCTCTGTGCCCAAATCGCCCCAGCTCTTTTCCTCCCCCTCTCCGTCACGCATCAAAGCTGGGGAGGCCTCGGGGAAGAAGGTATCTCCCTGCCGGGGGGGCTGTAGGTAGGAAATTAAACCATCTGGGGGCTTTCCGAGCTTCTACAGGTGCTGCAGCTCGCAGGGCTCCAATCTCCCTGCTGTGGGTAAAGCAGGGGACGGTGGCCCTTGCCCCGGCGCCTCGGGGACGGGAAAGTTCCAGGTGGCTTGGCTGGATGGGGGCAGAAGCCCGTGTTTCCCCTCTACAAGAAAAACCATTAATGGGGACATCTTTGAGAGTAACAACCCATCTCCTCCGACCCTTCTCCCCATGACTTCATGCCTCTGGGGGGCTTTTCTGTAAATCCCCAGCTCCGGGAGTCAGGTGATGACGTGCGGTTGGTCTTTGGAGGCGTCGGAGGCTCAGAGGTGGGATGGGGGAGACAAAAAAAAAACCCACCCTCTGCAACCCCCTGCTGGGTCTGGCCTGATATTAATCCTGCCAAAAAAGCTTTTTCCTCCATCCCGGTGAGCGCTTGGGCTTTAAAGGTGATGGCCCTGGGGAAAGGGAGGGTGCCTGGGGGGCCGTGCTGGCTTTGCCGCCCTCGCTGCCGGGCGCAGCCCAGCCGGCCAGGACCCCGCTGGCGGGATGCTGATATTAACGGGTGGTTTCCATGGTTTCTCACCGTTCGCACAGGATGCTCCTTAGGAACAAGAGCTGGTGGCGGAAAAACAAAGGGGAGATGTTGGAGGCGTGCAGTGCGGGGGCGACCCCAGGGGTCCTCCGCCTTCGTTACGTCGGCTGACGTTATCTATTTCCATCCGAGCATCCCTGGATACGGGGGAAGGAGGAAAATCGGCGCGAGCATCCCATCTCCCGCCCCGCGCCGTACCCCGACGCTGCCCATCACCCCCCAAAAAGCTGGCGGCGCCTGGAAATTTGGGCATCCCGCGGGCAATTTAGGCAGAAGCAAGGCGTTATTTGGGAACAATAAAAAGCCGGGGAAGCTCTCCGAGTTGCCGGGGCTGGAGCAGGATGAGGCGTTTCTCTTTGTCAGGTCCAAAGGGACCATTGCCCTCCCACGGCTGCCAGTGCCAGAGCAGGTGCCTGCCGGAAAAATGGCAATAAAGGGTGAAATGAGGCATCGCTTCGGATGGCGAAACTGCAACGTTTGGACTTTTTTCAGAATCATCTGGTGAAAAATTGGTTTGCAGGAAACAATATGAATTAATGAACTGGTTGGCTCCCTAAGACTCTGCATTTTTTAGTGTAATAAACAGTACCTGCATCTTCCCCTGAGCTTAATTTCATTCCCACAGAGGCAGAGAAATGGCTTTAAGTGGCAACCAAGGCAGCGAAGCTGTTCCTCCCACCGACCTCTCCTCCGGAGCTGGCCCGGGAGACAGCACCCAGCCTGCAGCCGTGGGTGATGTCTCCCCGGGACTGAGCATTTGCTCGCACGTCCGACGTTGGAGGACAAATTTGGGGAAAGCTCCGGTAAGGGGCAGGCGGGTTTCGCGTGGGACCCTCCTCTGCAGCCGTCGCGTCCTTCCCCGATGCCTGAGATCCCGCCTGGGACATGCCGGTTACTTGCAGGACCTTTTCCGAGGTCAAAACCTTCCTCCTTGCAGCAATTAGAAGTTTCTCATATTATTATTATTATTATTATTATTATTATTATTATTATTATAGCATCATTTAACACAAAGCAGATCCTTACACCTGTTTTTATTTTTAAGTAGGAAAAGATGAATTTCAGCCTTACTGAATAATTTATTAGCTAATTTTTTTACTGTTACTTGTGATATAGATCTAGCATATGTATGATCCATTAAACATCTGCTAAATATAAGCTTTTCAGTTGTTTGAATGTGCAACCTGAATTGTACATTCAAACTTCAACACCCCAGAAAGTAAAGAGCCACATTTTGAACTCACATGTACATGTGCATCTTCAATTGACTGCACATCAGATTGCTCAATTTAGGGTACAGTTGGGACCATACAGCTTTAAATTAATCTTAAAACAATCAGAAATTTGGAAGGAATTTTTCACACTTCACATATCTGAAGCTATAAGAACGATGTTTTATCGCGGTCAATCCAGCAGTTATGCAATATAACTTTTCAGCATGTTATCTCAGAGGTATTAGCTGAGTGCTAAGATTCGTCCTGGGAAAGGAGCTGGCATCTCTTTCTAGATATGGAGAAGATCTAAGGCTGATATGGGACTTGAGTTAAAGCATTTTTAGCATAATTATCTAGGGTCACTTATGTGTGTGAAGGGTCAAAAAAGCTGAGTTTCATTTCTGAAATACTGACTAGAACTTCCTTACAACAATCGCTAGCAAGTATCATGAAGGTAAATTCTGCTAATTAATTGTATAAATATGATGGATAAATAATAAATAACACTTCTTATTTAAAC